AGAGACCCAGGTGCTCTCCTACCGACTCCAGATGTTTCTGAATGAATGCTTTCTAATTTCCCCAATCTACATTTATTCCCCCCCTTCCCTGACTAAAATGACCAAACTGACCATGACTCACAATATCAAAGTAAAGACTCAAAAATAACAACCAACAGCAATGTAACAACCATCCACAAGCCAGAATTGATTCCCCTGCTCCGTCTCTACTCCCTTCTTCTTTTTCATGTATGTGAACTTAATAGGGGGTCTATCATTACCCCCTCCCCGAAAACCACCTTGTCCTCAAGGTGGAACTCTGGAAACTACAGTTTAATGTTGTCATAAGGCTCCCACGTTGCTTCAAACTCGGGAAAATCTTTCCACTTGATCAGAACTTCTAACCCAGACCCGGTGACCGAATTGGGACTAACCTGTAATACTGCTTCGGGCGCCACTAAGAACTGGCCATTTTCAGCCAACTGAGATGGTAACTTGGTGATGGTCTGAACCGCGCCAACGGCCCTTCTCAACTGGGATACATGGAAAACTGGATGGATGGCGGCCCCCGATGGTAGCTTCAGTTTATAGGCTACTTGGCCCACCCTTTCTATAACCTCAAATGGCCCGTAGTAGCGAGGAGAAAGTTTTGCAGAGATTCTAGTGGCTACAGATTGTTGGCGATACGATTTCAGCTTGAGATACACCAACTCCCCCACCCCAAACTGTATATCTCGACGTTTACCATCAGTCGTCTGCTTCATTTGCTGTTGAGCTTGTTGAAGGTATAACTTCAGTTGATGTATAACCGCATCCCTATCGATTAAGGACTGCTCCACAGATGAAACCACAGTAACCCCTTTCTCAAACAGCAACACAGGAGGCAGTTCACGCCCGTACACAATCTGAAAAAGAGTATGTTTGGAGGCCGCATGGAAAGAAGTGTTGTACCAAAACTCCGCCCAAGGCAGCCATAAACTCCATGAACGAGGCTTACCAGAGACAAAGCACCTTAAGTACGTCTCTAAACACCGATTCACCACCTCGGTCTGACCATCCGTCTGCGGGTGATAAGAAGAACTCCGCTTCAGTACCGTTCCCTGTGCTTTGAATAATTCCTCCCAAAATTTGCTCATGAAAACTCGATCTCGATCAGAAACAATTGATTGAGGTACGCCGTGTAGGCGAATGATCTCTCGAGTAAACACTCGT